TATATATATATATATATATAGATATAGATAGATAGATAGATAGATAGATAATATTAGTGGAAAATATACATACATATGCAAAATATATAAATACCCATACATGTATATTTTAGAAAAAAAAATTCAAAGAGGAAGAATCCAGGTAGACAGAGGTAGGATATAATAAAAACATTTAAACACTAATATTCCATGGTCATAATTTATTCCATTATTTACGATTCCAATGGAATAAATTATGACCATGGAATATTATATTTTTTTTTTATTATATATATATATATATATATATATATATATATATATATATATATATATATATATATATGCAGCTGTGTGTGTAGGCGTATGTTTAAAGAGTGACAGTCAAACGCTGAATTGCACAAAATACATATTTTATCCTTATTTAAAAAGGATATTATCAAAAAGTACATTTTAGGATAATGTTATTTTCAGCTGACACGCTAAAATGCAGCTTTTCGGAGTTCTTTTAATGTTAAAATAATAAATATATTACAAAGAACAAAACTGTGCTCACCAACAAGGTTTCATAAAAGCAAAAATCTGATATAAAACTCGTGATTGCTGTGTCGGCCAGTCAGAAAGCATTTTAATCACTATAGAAATACTAAACATTAATTATATCATACAGCATTTAATCATTTTTTTCCGGTTAAGAGGTTTAACAGTAGACAATGAGTGCCAAAAGCAATACAGAGCCTAAACTCAGTCGGCTGAAACTAGATTAAAAAATAATTTCTAAAATATCTAGACCTAATCTAGACATGACAAAATGTTTTACTTTGTAAAACAGTTTATTCTGCCAGGAAATATTTTATTATTCTCGATGGCTGTTAGTAAAATTATATAAAACTTCACCAGAACATATAATGCATCGACAAAAATGTTTATTACCCTAAGATGTGCAAGACGTTTTTTAATACCACCTTCATCTAGAATATAGATGATTAAGGTTCTCCCCTGCTTCTTTTCGTTTAATATGCGTGAATTGCCATTACTATTTTGTAAATAATTGGCGATCGCAGTGAGCGGCCCTTTTGTAAAGTGCCTGAAAACAATACCATGGGCTGGCCCAAGGCTTCCGAGTTAGATTGCGCAGACGGAACAGATTCCGAACCGTCGGTGGTTGTTCTAGCACGAAGTCACATGTCATCGTGACCGAGAGTTTGAATGTACAGGCCTTGTTTACACTGTTTATCAGAAACTATAACCAAGCTCCACTCAGCATAGTTACAATATTAACCACAGGTGGGCTGTGTTGGTGATGAACAAACATAAATGTGCCTGTGCAGGCATCTGCAACAGGGATTAGCTATCAGCCATACTAGTCAGGTATACTCGGATACAGGCAGGCAGTTGTTACTTACTTATTATTTTGGCAGTATAGTAATTGGCTTCTCCTTACCTTCTGTAGAAATTCTTTAAGACTGGCGGTTAGCGAAGTCTAGCTAAAGAGTCAAGTCTCTCATGCTATTTAACCAATTGCTGGAGGAAACGATTCATGGATTCCTCCCTTTTTGCGACACAAGATATGATGTAGTGGAGAGCCATGATCGTCAAGGTCTTGAAGGTCCACGGCATATAGCGAGGCTAAATAATAAGTCTGTTTATGCTATTTTATACTTGGCAAAGACCTTGTTAGCTTTTCACAAAATTGTTGATATCTTATAAGCCATACGTATTTTTATGCAAGTCAAGGTCAATATACCTGCCCTACAATATATTTTATATAGTCATATACAGTATATATACTTTAGTATATATTAAAATAGAAACAGCTAAATATCTTCTTTGCGTTGTAGTAGTTATTGGTTCAGGCTTCATGATGACATTTACGGCTGTGTGCCATTGGATATTGCATGGTGTATCACGTGCGGTACGCGTGCCGTAGCTTGCCGAACCCTGATATATGATATTAATCGCAAGTTTTAGTAGACATTTAAATTACGCCAACATTTCAAGAATTAAACATAGACACAAAGATGCCATGAGACAATCACGTGACGCTCACACGACAAAACTGATGCATACATAAGTGTATATATTTAAACGCCATAAAAGGAACATATTTCGATATTTATTCTCATCAGAATTTTTGTTTAGAAATGGAATCAGACCTGGTTATTTCGATTAGCAACTTCTTTCCTTGTTTAATAGAAATATTTCATACATTTCAACCGACAGTAGAACTGGTTGCTCGGTCAATATATGTGAAATGTTTCCTTATATGGAAACGTTTAATATTACCATAACAATTACATAGTGCGAAAGTAAATGCAACATACCGAAACTTAAAGCTGGTTCCCGGATTCCAACTGTTTCACTGCCCACACTTCGAGTCTTTATTCCTGCAGGTATGGCGGATAGAGAGTAATATGGAGAACGGATCAAAACTGATAAAACCAACACGGATGAAATTTGCATAATTTATAGAACTATAATAAAACATTCATGAGTTGACAAAAAAAAAAACAAAAGAAAAAGGAAAAAGAAAGCAAAAAAGAGAATATGATTTATTTAATAGAGCAGAAATTCATTAAAAATGTGTGATTAAAAAAAAAAAACCGACATGATGTTATTTTAGTGGTGTATCAAATTAAAAAGCCGATTTTGTACAGAAACACCAGCAACCGAACCTCGCGTGATCAATATCTGAAGAGGAGACTTCTTTTTTTCCATGCCACATCCATTTACGACGTGAGCATCATAGCTCTCCACTAAAACCTCCTCATACAGAAAAGAATAGACTATAGAAAAGAATAATCCTCCCAACAATTTATATACAGGCTTTGGTTTGTTTTGCTTTACGTTATGTCAACCTCAATGGGTTATTTAATGCCGACAATTTTTTTTTTCAAAAATGTATAGTCGGTAATTTTTGTTTTTAAAGTATTTCTGGTAATATTTTTTTACAAAGCATTTCTGGTATTAAAACCTATCTTTACACTTTCATAGTATTTTGACCCAAGTTTGGGTTTTAACTATTTGCCCATAGTTGGGACCCTAGAAGGTGCTTCCACCCCGGGTCAGGGTGGACCTGGGAACACCAGCAATTAAGAGGTGGTTCCACGCTCCTCAAAACCTCCTGATCAGATGCCTTGCTGTTGGACGTAGTTTATCGTCTTACGCGGGACACGGATGTAGTTTATCGTCCTACCCAGGGCAGTATATACAGGGGACACAGCATATAATACAAACATGATAACATAACGTGGATACGAGCTTAGTTATTTAGAGTGAGAAACAATTCGGCTCAGTCAGTACAGACAAAAAGCAAAAAGAAGGTACAAAAAGTAGGAAGATTGTCTAGCGTCTGTGAAAATTAGAATATGAAATTCTCTCTCTCACCCTGGCTTCGACCATGATCACTGGGGCGTGTGGCAAATACTTAACTTAGTCACCGTACGTTTTCTGATAGGCAAGATGGTCGAAATATAGTCTTTTTTATTCAATTATAATTTTCAGTAATTTTTAGCTATCTCCAAGAATGTCTGCCGCCGGCATTAATGTGTCCGAAAGAATTTCCTGAATATTTAATATAAGTGGATATTTCACCCTAAAAAAAGTAATCGTTTCAACAATTTGAAAGTTTGTGTAATGAAAACAGGACAAGAGATTCGGTCTAGTAATCTTTGCTCAGTGTCCGAAGGCTCTTAAGAAATGGTCCAATGTTTCGCCTGATTCTTGTCGGCGAGTCGCAAGAAGGTGTCTAGAAAATATCTCATTTTGGGGCTTTATGTATGTAGAGTTCAGTACATCGATTGCTTCTTCGTAGGTAACGCAATCCGAGATAATTTCGTTGACTGTGTGAGACAGGTAGTTGGTTAGGAGCGCACGCTTATTGATGGGACGTCCCGGTCTTTCTGAATGTAGAACCTCGATGAAATTTGTAAATGTCTCCCGCCAATGTTTCCAGCACTTGTCGGCTGAATCGCTTTCTGGATCTGTGGTAAATCGCTCCGGTCGCATAAATTGTTCCATTCTTAATTGAATAAATTGTAATGAAAACAGGACAAGAGATTCTGTCTAGGAATCTTTTATTCAATTAAGAATCTTACTACTCGTCTACTTGACAAACGGAAATGTACAGCTTTTATAGCTTGGATTATCAAAGAGGAGATAATCCATATTCACAACAGTTAGTCTAGCACAGAAATATATTGGCGGAGTTTGTTGCTTTCAATATGCGTTTTGGAATCCATTTATTTATCGGGATTTGAACACCGACCGCCGTCACTATCGTTAAATACTCAGCTACCCCGGCCACATCGCAGATGCCTGGTTAATAATAAGTTTCTGATAAGTGAAAATGCAATTTTAGAAATCATAAAGATGGCTATTTTGTCGAATAAGATAAGAGCTATAATCAAAGAAAATTCAAAGCTGCTTTCCGTAAATTTTATGAATATTGCCTTACGTACCCATCTATCATGTATCGATCGTTAAAAAAAAGACTTGTTGAAAATCTCACGAGTAACAGCAAAACTGAAATGACTTTTAAGGCTCACATCAAGTCATTGACAATTCCTGTTCTTTTTTTTTGTTTTTTTTATAATAGTCGGTGACATAAAACCTGACGAATTTGCCCTTTAAGAAATGAATGAAATTTTTTCGATTGCGATGTCGTTAAACATTGAATCAGCAAGGATTTTTGGTGGGGGGAGGGTGGCAAAAAACCATCAAATGTAAGTTTCACAAAGTATACTTTTTCACATGTCGTGACTCTCCAATGGCATAAAGGAATTTAAAAAAAAAACATTCAAATGCTAAAAATAGATAAGTTCCCGCCAAAAAAAAAAAAAAAACGTTAAGAACGAAAAGCGATTCACGACTTAAAATTGTGTTTCTATTAAGAACAACGAGAAGAACGTTTCTTTGACTCGATGCATCTGAAGATCAATCAATAAACGAATAAGATCGAGAAATCGAAACTAATACTGGAAATAAAGGGCTGATTTTTTTTTTTTTTTTTTTTTAATGAGGACGTTTCCTTGTCCGTTTACCAAATTTTGATTTTCGTCATTTCGTTTTTTTTTTATTCTTCATTTCTCTCTCTTTTTTTCTTTCGGTGTTTTCATTATTTTTTTTCTTTCCTTTTTCTTCCTTACTTCTTTTTTATGCCTTCTTTCTTTCTTTTTTCTTTCTTTCTTTCTTTCTTTCTTTCTTTTGTGTTCTCTTCGCTTTTTTTCTCTATACGTTCCTTTTTCTTTCTTTTCAATTTTGTTCAGGCAGCTTTAATTCTTGTCTCATCTTCTCTCTTACATCTTGTTATCACTTTCTTTTCTCTCTTTCTTTTCCTTTCAGATTTTCATCTATCTATCTATCTCATAACTCAGCAGACACACACAGACTCTCTGTCTCTTTCTCTTTCCATCTCTATAAATAAATCAAGGATTCTTTCACTTTTCTTTTTCACACTTCTCTACATTTTCTCTCCTTTCTTCGCTTTTTTTTTATTATTTTATACTAAACTTATCAATAAAAAAAAAAAGAAAATGATTTTTCCAAACTTTTTCTCCTTGATGTTCTCTCTCCCCCAATAAAAAATTACGAGGATTTTTTTTACTTTTTATTATTCCTTTGCTGTGTCTCTTTCTTCCCAAATCTCTCTCTGTCTCTGTCTCTCTCTCTTTATCTCTTTATCTTCTTATCACTCTTTCATTTTCATTTTCTTTCTTTTTCTATCATTGTTTCTTGTTTTCGTTTTTCGTATCCCTTTGTTTCTTTGTCTCTTTCTTTCTTTCTTTCTTTCTTTGTTATGGAGTGGTTTCACAGTGGAGGCTTGTATTTGTACTAAGTCGGTCCTAAAATAGGTTCGACGTACAAAACGTTAGGAACTTCATATAATAGGTAATGACGCAGAGAAATCTAGTAGTGGTCGCTGATACTCTTAGTATGTGACTAACGGTCGTCCGACATCGACTGACGATATTTAATCACCCCCCACCCACGAGGGCATCATTAGGCACAAGGCCGGTTTAACGTGGGATCTCCGAGCCCTTGAGCTCGACCAAAAATATGACCATTGAACCCGTATAAACGGGTTCAAGGTCGGTTTTCCACCCCGAAAGAGAATCCGCCTTTCGGCGTAGCCTCCTTCGGGTTCCTCCCCGCCCGAAGGCCGAGAGTTCAACCGATCAGCCAGTCAACTGACTGACCGACCCACTGAGCGACTCCTACTACTCCTACTTATTATAGGTGGGAGAGTCTGTTAACAATAAAATAGCTGTGTTCCACTATAACACTTTCCTTCCTTCCTTCCTTCCTTCCTTCCTTTATATTTTCTGTGTTTTATTTTACCTATTTCTTTCTATCTTTCTCTTTCCATTTAATATTTCTCCATTTTCTCTTTTTTAATCTTTTCTTCCTTTTTTCCTTTGATTTCTCTTGTTTTTCTTCTTTATCTGCACCCTGTACAGAAATTTTCAATATCCTCCCGCAACCTCTTCAGATTGTGTTTTATTACAGCCTTCCAAATGAAAAAGAAAATCAATTCTTATTCTTCTTTTCTTTTCAGTTTTTCTTTCCTTCTTTTTTTCGTCGCGTTTTCTTTCAATTTCTTTATTTCCGACTTTTTTTCTTCTTTCTCTTTTCCTGTTGTTGGTTTCTTTCTTTCTACACTCTTTTCTTTATTTTTCTTTTCTTAATTCCTTTATCTTCTTTAATTCGCCTCTCTATCTCTATCTCTTTCTCCTCCTCTTTCCTTTTGCCAAGAGTCAAGTAACCAGGAAAAATCTCAAAGAGTACGATTCAGGAACAAAATCGAAGACTTTCTTTTTATGTACGCATGGAATGCCAAAAAAAACCAAAAAAAAAAAAAATAATCAAAAACACGTTCCTCACGCCCAGGTAACCCAATCGCCACCTAGAGGTGATGAGAAAGAACATAAAACACTTTTTACTTTCATATTTTCAAACAAGGTCAATGGCCAATACTTTCTTTTTTAGTTCCAAAATAACAAAATTGCACTTTTCTACCTTAAGGTTTCTGATAACATCTAAGGAGAATTCAATCAAAATATCCTTGAAAAAAGTTTTGGTACTGAAAAACAAGACAAAAAAAAATCTCGTTTCACTTAGATAATTTACCATGTGATTACGAAATCTTATTCGCGGTGAACCGCCTGCATCTGAAAAAGAATTGAACATATACAGTAAAATAGAAAGCGTCATAAGACAATGATGCGTCTTCTTGCCGGATTTATTTAATATTTCCAGCAAGGCGATTCTAAAAGAACTAAAAGTACTAAAAGTACTATAAGTACTACTAAGATTTTTTAAACTATTGGTGAGCACAAAATTATCAATATAAGATGCGTAGTTGATATACAGGGTGATTGAAAAGTAACTCCTTATTTTATCTATAATAGACCCTCCCGTTTAACTGTAATTGTTACTAGACGGGAGAATCCATTATACATAAAATAAGGAATTACTTTTCAATCACGCTGTAATGTTGATGGCACACATAATAACTACTGCATGATATCCGAGACATGGTAGTAGTGGAGGGCGGTATTCAAGAACGAACCAACGATTGTAAGACAGAATATACTGGAAACCTCGGCTTTGGATTTCTTTTATCCATATCAAGTGTTTTGTGTCTGAAAATCAACAGGTTTTTTTTGTATATTGTAAGGAATGACGAAGAAGGACTTGGAAAATTTAATCGCCACGAGGCATGTTGAGGGCAAAATAGATCGTGAAAAGCATTTACTCTTTCTCCATTTTCTTCACGGGCTTGTAAGAATGAATGTCGCAACGGGGTTATTGGGTGCATTGACAAATGAAGAATAACTGTTAAGAGTTAAGCGTGATAGGAAGTTGGGGAGAGCCGTGAACGCCTATGTCATGAAAGGGCACGGCATATAGAAGAAGAAGAAGATATTGCATGCAGTGGCATTTGATAAGTTTTAGTTTGGTTTGTTTTGTTTTACGGATTATCAACCTCAATGGGTCATTTAATGACGACAACTTTTTTTTCCTGGTAATATTTTTGTTTTCTCAAAAATCTATTTCTGTTAATATTTTTTTCCTCAAAAATATATAACTGGTAATATTATTTTTTCAAAAACGTATAGCTGGTAATAGTTTTTTTTTTTTTTCGAAGTATTGCTGGTAATGTTTTTTTCTTCAAAAATTTATTTCTGGTAATAATTTTTTACAGAGTATTTCTGGTATTAAAATCTATTTTTACACTTTCATAGTATTTTGACCCAAATTTAGGTTTTAGCTATTTGCCCATAGCTGGGACGCTAGCAGGGGCTACCACCCCGGGTCAGGGTGGACCTGGGAACACCAGCCATTAAGAGGTGGTTCCACGCTCCTCCAAGCCTCCTGATCAGAGGCCTTGCTGTTGGACGTAGTTTATCGTCATACCCAGGACGCGGATGTAATTTATCGTCATACCCAGGAAAGCATTTGATAAGGTACGAGACAATGATCTATTTGAACTGCCAGGAAAACTTGTTTCATTTGGAAAGATATTAAAATAATATGGAACATTTACAAGAAAAAAAAAGAATGCGGATAGAAAAAGAACTGAGAATTTAACCGAAAACTGGAATGGAATATAAGACAACGATGCGTCTTCTCAAACAATTTATCTGGCCTTTACGGCGAGGCAGTCTTAAGAGAACTAAAAGTCCTACCAGGATTTATTACTGGTGGACATAATCTATATAAATACAAATGTCAGTATGTCACACTTTTTCAACTTTACTCCAAGAGGCCGTAGCCGAACATATGCTATTTAGGAATCAGGCTAACTCTGTGATCAAATGAAAAACATTCCAGACTAGATCCGGATTCACAATCCAGAAATTTTGGATTCTCAAATTTATATTATTGCGATTATTTTCAGCGAATTTTTTTACGGGATTTTTTGTGACGAATTTTTTGCATGATAACAATTTTTATAACATGGAAATAAATTTGAGAATAATTTAAATTAATTAATTAATTCCAGCGAAAGTTAACCATGAAATAAAAATAAGTGTTTCTATGGAAAGAAAGGACCTACGAAAATGAAATTGTCTTTAAACTAGGTGGCTGCAGAAGATATATATATATATATATATATATATATATATATATATATATATATATATATATATATATAAAAATCTTTTATAAAAAAAGATTATAAAAAAAAAAATTGTTGATCGCTACAAAAAGATTTCATGTTTCAATACTTTGATTGTACTTCTTCAGGCAATGGTAAGTAATTGGTGGTGAAATGATTTTTAAGGAAGTTTAAAAACAAAGTGTTACCTCTTTTCCGAAAGTTAAAGGGGTGGGGGGAGAACATAATTAATGAATAATGCAAATAAAAGATGACACTTAGGTGATTGATGTTATATTCAGCACCTCTACTCCAAAGATTCATAGGCGTAATTGTTCGGACCACTCGTCAGTATCTATCAGGAAATGTCTGTAAATTTCATTGTTTTCGTTTTTTTTTATATTAATTAAATGCATTTTTTTATTGGTGTTAACTATATATATATATATATATATATATATATATATATTAAATAATGGACAAAGTCCGACAATTTATTAAAGATATTTTTTTATGTTTAACATTCTTTTTATAGATACAAATGTTTAAGTAAATGTTCTGTTTATAATAAACATTATTAAATAACATTTTTTTGGCCTGAATGTCCGAGAAATTTTCATATTCCATATTCGTCCTTTGACAGGATTTGAACCTGCATCCTAGGACGAATATTTAAATACTTGTATATATAAAAAAAAATGTTAAACATAAAATGTCTTTTAATATATATATTAATATATATTATATAATAATATCGTACTTATTAATAAAGCTCAATATCAGATTTATAACTAATATATTTATATTGGATTGATGTTTTTAATGACTTGGGTTATAATCATTTATGCATATATATATATATATATATATATATATATATATATATATATATATATATATATATATATATATATATATATATATATATATATTTATTATTTAGGCAGTATGTCTTTATTCAGTCATGTGTTTTTGAAAACTACGGAAGTTTTCCGTTTGTTGATATTTTTTTCAGTTTTTTCTTGCTTTCTCGCAAGTTTTTTTAACGTTTGAGTCTAAGTTGTTAAAGTAGGGCCCCAGCCGATGGTTTTCTGCCATGCACTTTCGATTATCTTCAACTATCATCATGGCGTATAACTGAAAGTTTTATAAGATCAGTTTTATTTGTTTGGATAAGTCCTGTTCTTATGTACATCGTCTTTGTCATGTTGTATTGATAATGTTATAATTTATGAATATGTCCTGAAGATGGTTTATTAGACCGAAACGTCCGACGTTGACATATTAACATTAAAACAGTATAAATTGTATATAAGGAATTTTGTTTGTTTTTTCCGTATATATTTTTCTTCATACTGTCGGATCTATATCCATATATTTTTATATATATATATATATATATATATATATATATATATATATATATATATATATATATATATATATATATATATATATATTATATAAAAAGTTGCAAAT